TGCCTGGTCTACCATAGCTGCAGCTACAAATCAAACACCTGTAAGGCAAATATGGTGGCTTTCAAAACTGTCCACACCCCTGTGAAAGATGTCAGGGTGTTGTGATAAGAATGGCCGCATAATAAATCATTTAGAGACACTTTTTTTTACTTTAATGTAACTTTGAAACTCTACAAATCACATAAAAATATGTTAGAAGAAAAACACTGAAACAATAATAATCTGGTTAAACAATGATTCCCTTCTCTTATATAGAGATGTCTGAGATTCTATCCATTTTTAGGCATATTTTAGATTAATTGGAGGAAAAGTTACCCAGGGTCGCTGCAAGAACCATTTTTTACTGTGGATATGGTGCATCTTTGGGGATGTTTCCTTTCAGAAGTTCTGTTAGATTTATGGAAAGCATGATATTTTCCTGCAAAGTTTTGGGAAATTTAGCACAATCTAAAATATGTCTTTAAAAGGTAGCATTGTCTATTTTACTTCACTACTTTTCCTCCAGAAATAGGGTGAATACAGGGGTTCATTGTGTGTAAAAGATCTCCCCAACCCTCAAGCCTAGTGTAGTTCTTGACAAATGCGCACAAATCCACTTTTAGCATACATTGTTAAACTCTGATACATTGAAATTCATATGACACTTTATAAACTATGTGCAAACTAAAGATGTCACTATGAATGTCAAAAAGATCCTCTCTTAGAACTTGAGCTTTTTTAAGGTCCAATGGTTTCAGTTAGTGCTGACAAGATGTAACTGACAAGACTGAATGCTGGGGGGAAAAAATAAATGAAGTATGTCCAAAAGGGATGCACACATTTATGGAATCTGCTTTTTTGCATTTTCTGTGTTGTTGTTTTTTTAAATGTTTCTACTTCTAAAAAAGATTTTGTTCCTCTATTGAATTGTGCAGGGTAAACTTAACCTTGACTTGGGACTTGAGTTGGTAATATTAGAAATTAAAAGTGACTTGACTTCGACTCGATTGCCTTAACTTAAATTGATTTGACACTCTTTTTAAAGTAAAACAATAATAATAATACCAAAAATAAAATACTTGGTAACAATCTTAAAATTAAACATATGACTTGGAACTCGTTTGTCTAGACTTGTGACTTGACTTGAGATCTACCAATCTTGTCTAGTGCTTTAACGTGTGACTTGACTATAAATATTATGGATTAACTTGTGACTTGGAAAGTAATGATTTGGTCTCTCCAGTGGTAAATGTGACACAATAAAGGTTGATAAAGTTCTGAGGTTATAAACTCTGGTTCCATTTTCTTAAAATCACAAATACATTTTAACGACTACATTATTTGGATACAAAAACCTCAACATGCAGTTTTAATAGTCTAACTATTAATTAAACTAAAAATGAAGAGGTTGTGGAAGTTGTCATCACTCCTACTAATGAAATTATTAACCATCTTATCAGTAAGAAAATAATAATTTAGAACAAACTTGTCACACCTGCTTTGGAGCTGTGACCATCATAACAGTTCATCATCACCTTGGTCTGCATGAGCTGCCATATAAGGACAGGTCTTCCTCCTGCACAGGGTAGGACTGTAGTTTAACTCTACGTAGTAACACTTTCAGGTCATTATTCAGCTTCAGTCAACTTTGACCAGTAAGTATCCCATTTTTTTCCCTTGACCCTTCCTGCTTCACACCCATACCTGCCTATCTTGAATCACCTGGATTTGACCCTCTGACTGCCTGAGCCCAAGAATCTTTATCAGCCAATCTATTGGATTGGATTACCTGCCGACCCCGAGAAATAGCCTAAGTAAAAGTATTTACTGTTCTGTGCTAAATGCTCAGTCTAAGTGTTTGGAAACAGCTGCCGTTCCAAACTGCCCCCCACAAAAGCTTCATACACATTTACATTAAAGACTGGAGAGTTGCATTTATCATCATCCCTCTCTTAAAGATGGATTATTCCTTCAGTTCAGCCGATGACCTAATGTCATGTAAAAAAAAATTTTAAAGCATTTTTCAACTCTGTAGACACAATGGAAGATATGTTCCATATTTTGTATCCAAAGGGTTGATTGTTTTGATCTTTATTGAAAAAACAATTAAGAGGAAACAAAAAAACCTACGGTCAGTTAAAAAACGGTTCTGACCAGCCTTTTATTAAACAGAGGTAGGGGATTTTCATTCAGTTAAAACTAAATAAAAATTATGTACTATACCTTCACAATGCAAACCATGATTTTTAAAAAAAACTTTTTCTATGTTTTTAATTGTATTTCTAATCATATTTAGACTCAATAACGAATTTTGTTATACCAATTTCGTATCAACCTATATACACGCATTGTACATAAAACTGAAAATGATCAGAAAATGAAAAAGCACCTCATTAAAAACTGCTTGAATAAAGAGAGTTAAGACTAAATCAGTTGACCAGTGATCAAAACTGGCCAACCTTTCACTATCAGCAAATTAAATATAAAAATTATCAGTTTTAATAATGTTCATCTCGTGAATCAAAACTCAGAAAGTTCCTCCTTTAGATACATAAACAAATCCAACAACCAGATGTTCTTTAATGCACTTTGGTTTGATCTCAATTTGTTGTCAGAGTAGGAAACTTACACAAACTACCATGTATGCACTATATACCTTGAAAAAATATATATAGACATCAACTCAGATCTTAAGTAAAACCATGATTGCCAAGCAAAAATAAAAATTTACAGTTAAATATATTCAATAGCAAAATTACAATTTATTTAATCTCAATGTACAATGCTAAAAAAGAAATATTAAAAGGGAAGTCCCTGCCAACAAATCACATTTACAAAGATATTTTAACATTTATAGATAAATTTATAAATCTGCTGAATGATATTTTTAGTTGATATTTACGTTTTGTTTTTTGTTTTTTTCTTTCTGGCGGTATCCGCCAAAACTTGCATTTTTTTGCTGATTAATTAATGCATTCAGTAGCCATGTCTCGAAATTGGGTGGTGCTCGAAGGCCAATGGCTCCATTTGTAATCCATTGTTAGTGTTTTGTTTGTTAATAAATGTTTGTTTTTGTTTAGATTGAGACCTGTCTGAGATTTGTTACCACAGTGTCAATTTCTAACATGTAAATGGAGGAAGATTGGCCTGAGAAAAATAAATAAATAAATCTCCATAAAATATCGGGGATTTTCTAAACCATTATATAACAATTGGCATCAGAATTAAAAAACCTGAATTGGTCGATCTCTAATACTTTTTAATATGTGTATGTACACAGAGCTGACAGTATAAACTAAAATTCAGATTTTATAATAAAGACAATTTGTATTAAATTTGTATTAATAAACACATTTTGTATTAGGTTTCAGCAAATATCTTTCTTCCCTACATGAGTTTACTATAAGTACATTATGTAGGTCTGGTCTCAGATTTTTAATAACAAATTTGATTATTAGATTTTTTATTCTCTTCCCTTTTCTCTTCTTCATGGGAATAAAATAAAAATGGCAGAAATTGTTTTAAATATTTCAGATTTCTCTTCTGTGATGTGACCTTCAAACAGTGAGGAAATACAATTTTGTAAGACAAGTTGTCAAACATTGCAAATAATTAAAGTGTAGCCCAAATGTTTGCAGTGATGTGACCGGAAATCAGAGGCAAATGTCAATCTAAATTACAGGGCCAAAACATTAACCAGCGGTAAGCTGATGGTTTAACAATCGAAGCAGAGTTGTCCACACATCAGCAAACGAACCTGCCTTTTCCATTTATCAGTGAAAGCAGCACTAAATAGAGCTTACCCTGAGTATACTGCATGGGATTTTTTATACTAGCTCATACTAGGAGTGAAATTAAGCAATTTTCTGTCCATAAATAATAATAGTTCGAGTTGTCATCCCAGTATAAGATGGTGAGTATGGTGTTAAAGATGACTAACTCTGGATGCACTGCAGGGAGCTGCAACAGGTCCTGTCTGTTTGTGAATTAAAGTACCGGTAATCGGTTTATCCATTTGTTAAATAAAAGTCTGATAGTGTGTGTCAATCATAATGCTGGGTTCAATGATTGCTTTGAAATGAATGTAAACCTTCAGTATGAATAAAAACATCTTGTATACACATCCATCTAGCTGCAATCCCCCTATGAGAGACCCACTGTTTACATGTTTGCAGTGGAATAACAAAGGCAGTGTTGTTCAATCACATGGCATAAAAAAGTGATTATCTGGAAGCGTGCTGAGTTTTAGTAGGTACTGAGAGACAAACAATGAGCTCCTGGTTGATTCCATTTAGGGCTAAGCATCATAGAATGCTCAGGAAAAAAAAAACATACCATATTTGCATAGTTTAATATGGATTCATGCAATAATGAAGAGGTAGCGGACCCTCTTTTTTAAAAAGGTTATCTAAAAACATGAGGATAAAGATTTGGATGTAGTTCCTATCATAGAAATTCTCTACAAAGTAAATCATCACAGCATTTTTACTCATCCATTGTTTTTGATTTCGGTGTGCCAATCTGAGTCCTTTTATGGCCCCAATGTGGTTCCCCCCAAGGGAAACCAAGCTATACTTTGCACCGGCTGGGTTAAATCCTGACATGAGTTGTGATGGAAGGATGGTATTCCTACAAGGCTTGTTATGAGGCTCTAATAGCCATATCTGTACAGCAATTAGACCAACTAGTGTGATTTTACCAATTGAGATCAACAACACAATAATCCTCTTAGGTGCAACTCTAAACATCAGCCAGTATCCTTTCTAAGGCAATGGACGATTAAAACCTGCTGAAACAATCTTATTGACAGTTAAGAATGGTAATTCAATTTCATGATAAGGAATAATGGCAAAGACTTAAGAGTGTCTAACAAATATTTACAATCGTAATAAGTTACAATCCTTAAACTGCTATTTTATTGTTTTGACAAATTTCTACACATCATTATCGCATGTGCCGTATAAATTCATGAAAGTGTACATCATCAGTACAGAGTATGAATACAAATCTAAAGTACTTACTATTGCTGGACTTGAGATCTCTGTGGATGATTGGTACAAATGCCTGGTTGTGCAGGTAATCCATGCCTGTAGCAATCTGCACAGCCCAGTTCACCAAAACTCTCGGGGGAACCTTCTTCCCAGCCAATGCACGATTTAAAGCCCCTCCTCTGGCGTACTCCATCACCAAGCAGAGGTTGGGTTCCTTCAGGCAAACCCCACGAAGAGATATTATGTTGGGGTGACGGAGAAACCAAAACAACCTGGCCTCTTGCCGTACGCTTTCCGCTGTGACGCTAATATCCTCATCTGGATCCTGTCTGGCAGCCTTTACAGCTACCTCCTCTCCTCGCCAAACTCCTTTGTACACCTTCCCAAATCCGCCAGCTCCTATCACCTCCTCCAAGGTCAGTTCTGAGAAGTCAATTTCCAACGGAGACTCGCTCACTCTGACTGCCACCAGCCCTCCAACCTTCAGCTGCTGATAACTGGCAGCATCTCCTCTTGTGACATAGTTACTTGGAAAGATACCCACCTTGTCCTGGATCTTCCCTGTCCACCAGCCCTCATCCCCAGAAACCTTGGAGTCTTTGGAGAGAACCTCCAGTAGGTCCCCACGTCGCAAGGTTAATTCCTCATCTGCTGTGGCTTCGTAATCAAAGACTGCCGTCCAGTAAGGGTTGGCGTTTTTAGCCCCACATGGATGCCCAGGATGGGAATCTAGAGAGTCTGAGGATGAGACCGTAGAGTTCCAACTGGTTCCATTCTCCACCTGCAAGAAAGGGGCAGGGGACATTGATGGTGGAGGGGTCATGCTTGAGGGCATAGAGGAGGAGGTAGTAGTGGACGAGGACGGGGGCCCAGGGGGGATAAGACAAGGGGGAGGTGGTGAGCAGCAGTCCCCGCAGCTGGTGCAGGACACGGGGGGTGGTTTGCTTTTCGCCCTTCCGTATGGAATCATGCTGTTGGACGCTTTGGGCAGGCCCCGTGTCAACTCAGGCACAAAATCCACACAAGGCCCATGGACTGAGACAAAGTGGTCTCAACCAACCCAAAAGAGTCCGGATCAGGGGCTCTCCCCCATGGCCGTATCTCTCTAATGAATTTGTCCCAAATAGTTGAGTTGCAACACAACGTGCAAGTAACATGTATTCCAAAAAGGCAGGGTCACACAGGGGCGATGAACATCAGTTCAAACAATGACACTCAGCAAGGCAGATCCATGACAGGAGTTCCTAGAAAACAGATTGTTTGCATAAACAGATGAGTCTTTTCAAAGTGGCACAAAATGTCAGTAGAAGGGATTCTGAAAAATCAAAAATGATTGCCTGCAGTGTGATTTCCGATTAGAAGATGTGAATATTAATCAAATGATCTGCATCACTGCCTTCATGGGATTCAGAAAACATATAAAAAAAAATATGAGGTGAGTTATTACTTTGAACAAATTTTCTTGCTCTTGGCTTTTGTTTTTGGTTCATTCAAAACAATTAAATGTCTACCCTGAGAGCTCAAAGGAAGCTTTACCAGTTGCTGGGGCAACAATGAAGTCACAGCTGACTGTCAGATTAATTTCAGCACGGAAAATGAATTATTGGTCTGCAAAAAACAACCCCAATATAACCCAAGCAGCCTACATGAGCCGAGCAAAAATCCTCTGTGCAGGGGGGGTTCACATTATTTCTCATCCAGCCGATGCACCTCCCCCGCCAGCCGTCTCCATAAATGTGCATGGAAATATCCGCCGATATATGCGCCCTATATCTCCATGAGCCAGCCGGGGCTAAATCCTATCCACGCATGGCCAGTCGGTAGCCGGTTGAGAGTCCCTGATATAAGAGGCCCCCGTTCATTTCAATACAGCTGAGGGGGGGCTGAGTGGCAGCAGGTATTCAGTGACTGCTGCGGGGCAGCGGATTGGCACCATGTTCAGCATCCAGCGCAGTCTGTGCGCCACTAACCCGCCTCCTTGCGCGCGCAGCGGCCTGGTTCAATCGCCTTTGCTCCTGCGAGGTTTCAATAGAAATCCTTCTTTGTTGGATGCAGCTGCATACAAACATTTCTCGTTTACGGTGCTGCTTTCAGATGAGCTGTTGCATCTTCGCCTCTGGTGGAAGAGGGGGGGTTTAAATGTCTTCTTTAGCAGAGATGGAGGCTGTCATACGGCTCAGTATGGTGGGAAATATTCCCAGAGAACATTTGCATAGAGCTGTTGAGATCCGCAGCCGTTTCTTTCTCTAATAATAATAATAATCGAATACAATATAATGCGTTTTTCGCTGCTTACTTCTTTATTTTACCTTGACGTACACTGAAATCTAACCTGGACACTGAAGACATCCACTGTCCAGTCGTAGAGGCGTCGGGATCCGAAATCCCAGTTAAATGCCAAATATATATAGGCTACATAAATATATATATATTAAAACTGCCGCCGTCTTCTCCGTTTATCGGTTGATATTCCGGGGAGTTTCGTCTTATCCAAACGGGCTTTATCCTTCAAATAAGGCGTAGACTCCGCTGGGCTCGGAGCTGTCAGTCTGTGGGCTGACTTTGCATCCAAACACACCGGGCTGTGGCGTGCACGCTCACGGGAGCGAGCGTTTCCGCTGTTTTCCAGATCCTCAAGTCATGCGGATGGTCAGGGCGTTAATCTTTTTCCCTCTCCCTCCCTTCTCCATCTTTATACACATTTACAGCTCACCTCAGTTTGGGCGAAAGGCGTCCTGCAAGAACGATACAAACCTTACTGCTGCATTGTGGGTAATGTAGTTAGGAAGCTCTCTCTTCCTGACCTACATCATTATGGCAGCTGATATAACGACGTAATTAGCAATATTATGCATGTAAATCAGGATAAGTACATTTTCATATGGAACCGATTATTTAAACACTATAATATTTTAATTTTTACGTCTTTACCACAATATAGGCCATTGATAACATTATAGTTTGTTAAATAGTGCGATGAAATGCATTTTGATTAATAAAAAATATACCCAACTTTATTCTACAGATGTAATGTAAAATAATAATAACAATATTTGGTTTGTTCTAATTGTAGTAAATAATTTTTTTCATTTAATCAGTGTTGTTTGATGACATTGTGGTAAACTACCACTACTACTTGACTACTTACATTAAATTAAAATATGTCAATACCATTTTTAATAAATAGTCTAAAAATGTTAGCATTTTACAATTCACCCTTGAATTTCCAAATCAAAATCTGACAGTAGGGCTGGCTCTGGTAGGTATTATGGAGCTACACTGCACCCTGGTGTGTGTTTCACAAAACACAAGAAATACAAAAAAAATGTTAGCTACCACATAATTTCTTCTTTTTTTTTACACAATCATAGAGATAGAGAATAATGTTAAAATTTTGCCTATGTGACATCCCATTAATAATCCATAGGGGTTCAGTATGATGTGAATCCATTTTTTGCCTCTAGAACATCTTAAGCTCTTCTGGGAAGTCTGTCCACCTGGTTTAGAAGTGTTTATGGGAACTTGTGACCATTCTTCCTGAAGCACATTTGTGAGCTCACACACTGATGTGAGATGAGAAGGCCTGGCTCTCAGTCTCTGCTCTAATTCCCTCCAAGGTGTTCTGTCGGGTTGAGGTCCACTCTGTGCAGGCCAGTCAGTTCATCCCCACCAGAATCTTCCATCCATGTCTTTATGGATCTTCCTTCTGCTCTGGTTAATGTTGGAAGAGGGAGGGGCCAGCCTTAGAACTGTTCCCACACAGTTGGAAGCATGCAATTGTTCAAAATGTTTTGGTATACTGAAGCTGTCAGAGTTCCTTTCACTGTAACTAAAGGACGAGGTCCAGCTCCTGAAAAACAACCCCACACCATAAGCCCCCCTCCACCAAACTTTACACTTGCCATGATTCTGTCCAACAAGTACTTTTCTTGAGTCAACTAGCAAACCCAGACTTGTTCATCAGATTTCGAGATGAATGATAGCGATTCATCACTCCGGAGAATGCGTATCCTCTGCTCTCGTGCCCAGTGGCGGCATGCTTTATTGTATCTGACACTTTTGCACTTGGTGATGTATGGCTTGGATGCAGCTGCTCGGCAATGGAAACCCATTCCATGAGGCTTTCTGTTATTGAGCTAATCTGAAGGCCACATGAAGTTTGGAAATATGCAGTGATTGACTCTGCAGAAAGTTGGCGACCTCTCTACTCTATGCCCTTCAGCTTCCACTGACCCCACTCTGTCAGTTTAAGTTGCTGACCACTTTGTGGATGAGCTGCTGTCGCTTTATGATACGGCTGAAAGTTGACTGTGGGATTTTTAGGAGTGAAGGAATTTGGGGCCTGTTGCAGAGTTAACATCCAATTTCAGTTCCATCCTGGAATTCTCTGATTGCTGAAAGCAACCCATTCTTTCACAAATGTTTTTAACAACAGTTTGCATCACTAGGTGCTTAATTTTACACTACATTAGCCATGGAAGTGATTGGAACACCTGATTCCTACAATTTGGATGGGAGAGGAAATAATTTTGGCAATGCAATGTAGCAGACAATCACTAATATTCTCCTTAAACATTGTAATCCAATAAAAGAAATTGCCAAAGACATTACATGTTCACATTGGCTTTATTACAGCATGCCAATGGAAGGGTAAATGGAAGGAAAAGGTCAACAAACAGTCAGGATAAACATGCTGACGATAGGATTGAAAAACCAAGCCCATTCAAGTGTTTGGAGGAGACAGTGAGAGACAGAGGACATGTGGGTTTCCTGCTGTTATATTTAATTATTTTATTTATCACACCTGAACCAGAGACGATTTCAGAGGTGTCCTGGACTGAGAAAAAAGCGGACTGGGTCGTTGCCCTGTGGTCCAAAGTCTTCACTTTAAGTGGAAGTTAAGTTTGAATTTCTTTTGGAAATAAAGGTTCAAAGTCTGGAGGAAAGGTTGAGGCCCCAAATCAAAGTGGCATGGACTGCAATGTAAGGTTTCTATAATGAGGGAATATGTGAGGAGGCACATCATCAGTTGCTTCTGGTCTGCTGTGTTTTATCAAATCCAAAGTTAGCAAACAGGAGCACCTTTCCTTGTGCTTAGAAGCTAGATGCTCATTTTACTTCATGGACTTGGCACCTACCAAAATTATCAACACATGATCTAGTAACCAGTAACTTTGACTAATTTGCAGCACATTCTCCAGAACAACAGACAAGGTATTGTTTAGAGAAAGATAAAGGGGATCACTTATGTTTTTTGGGGGTTTTAGATTTTGTCATATCCAGGCAGACAATCGAAAATGTTTCTTTACATAGAAAGTAAAGTTCTTCTCCACTTCTATTTGATTATCATCTTAAATGAAAAATTGGCAACTTAGAGTATCTAATGCATACAATTAAGCATTAGAAGTGAGTGAAAACAATTTTGTTTTGTTTTTTCCCTACATCTTCAGGCTTTTTTTTTTTAAATTTGTTTTTAAAAAGAAAACAAGGAATCAAAAAAATGTAAGGTGTATAACAAGGTCTTTAGCTGGGTACTAAGATGTGCCACTAAGTGTTTTCCTGTTATTAATTTTTGTCTGCTATGAATAATCACCCTCTTTCCTTTATCTATCCCTGAGTTTCTAGATTAGAGGGCTAATAATTCTCTCATACAAGATTTTGAGCTATTTTGTGCCACTGAGTCAGTCCCACCACCTTAACACTTAACAGTCAATGTGATCGGTTTTATAATTCTATGCCTTTATGCCAACTTGGCGATACACAAAGATGATTCTGATTAAGAGCAAAGCTCCCTAAAAAAACGTTAAACTAATATCTGAAAATAGAGTACAAAGGATGAAAACTTTGGACATTTCATCAAAGCAAAACACAAACATAAAAGGGAAAAATGTAATGATAAAAAGTCACATCAAATCACTAAATTATGTGAAGTAACCACAAGGTGGTGCTATTTATCAAATAGTATTTTAGAATTCCAATTTAATTATTAAATCAGTGGGTTTATAGAAATGGCTAAAGTAATGACAGAATTTAATTATAGGCGTAAAATATATTCTGAAAGAGATATACTTCAAAGGTATGATGACGTTTTAATGCAAGAAATGTTAATCGAACCTATAACTTGTAAAACTAGTGTACTTGTTAGAACTGTTAAACTTGTTAGAACTGTAATGTTTTAATATGTTTATACTACTTTTTTTATGTATTTTTTTTACTATTTTCAAGGCTGCACTTAAAAAAAGGAAATTGTCTAGAGAGCTGTTCTTAAAGAAATTTATTTTTCTTTACACTTGTGTATACAAGACAACAAAATAAATCTGTCTACGGTAAGTCTAATGTATAATGTATACTCTCTTCACTTGAAATAATCAATTTCTTAGAAGCAAGTTAATGATAGCTATAATAATGAAGCTACTTAAATTCAGTTTACTAAAAAGACCTCATGCATGTCAGCAGTAGAAATTACCAGTCTTTGAAATAATAATGTTTAGTCTGAAAGCTTGTTTTTGGTTTTATGCAATAGATTTTTTTGTATAATCCAAAACTTTGTTTTTTTTTTTTAACTTAAGAATGTTTTTTATTATTTTTTTTCAATGTGGCAAAGTCTGTACCACACTGGGAAGAATTATTCAAACAATCGATTGAAATAGAATCAAATAATTCTGTTTGATTAATCAGTTACATTTTTACTTAATTTATTTATTCATTCCTTTTTTTCCCAAAGTACATAAAATATTTTTCTGATTCCATAAATGGCACATTCTTTTTTTTTTTTCAATTGTTTATATAGTGGATTTTCATTTTCATATACAAACACAACATTCTGAACACATAGGTAAGCTGAGAGAGAAAAAATAAATAGTTGCAAATATTAAGGGTGTAAACATAGGTTTGGAGGAAAATAAACCAAATGTAACAAAAAAATAGTTAAACAAAATATTAAAAATAATAAACATAAATACAATAAAATAAGTCAAGTACATTATGGTTGTCAATGTTATTATTAAAAAAAAAACACAGTCAAGCACGATTACAAGTCATGTGTTAGATCAAGATGGGATATCCCATAGAAGGAAGTCAGGTGATGATCAAGGGTCCCAATGTTTGAGCAAAAATATCTCCTTTACCTTTCAAGTGGTAAGTATATTGCTCTAGTTGCATTGTGTCATTCATTACTGTTTTAAATAAATTAATTGTAGGTGCTTTAGCGTGGTTCCAGTTGAGCAGTTAAATCATTTTATTGGAGATCTAAATAGCACATCCTGAGCATATTAAACCAAATTGTCACTATTTTATTTTATTTTTTTTGTTTGTTTGTTTTTTTTTTTGTTTATCTTGTGTTCTAAAAGTAAGAATACGACAAAGAAAGTTAGAAATATCATTACTACTTACTGAAAAGGTAAGTTTTGTTAAAGTTTGGTAATGTCCCTGTAGCAGCAGACTTCTGCTGCCACCTGTGGATACTACCAGGGTATTGCAGCCTTGTGTTTCTGCACATGCGCAGCAGGGGTGCGGGCGCAGTTAGTGCCGTGGTTTCGGTTGAGCATTCTTGGCAGCGTCTAGCTCGGAGAACAGGCTGCGGACTGACGTTGAACCGACGGCCGTTTCCTCTTTATGCCTGGAGAG